TTTCCCCTCCCCCCCAGCAGACCAGGGAGACGCGGAGTGGCTTTTCTCAGCAGACACCTCAGCTTGAGAATAAAGGACTGAGGGAAGTGAGGTGTGGGAGAATAATACAAGCTCTGGAGAAATATTTGGCTAGAGTTTCCCCTACAATATGTAGCAGTTCTGACTTACATACAAATTCAACTTAAGAACAAACCTACAGTCCCTATCTTCCCCCCAGCAGACCAGGGAGACGCGGAGTGGCTTTTCTCAGCAGACACCTCAGCTTGAGAATAAAGGACTGAGGGAAGTGAGGTGTGGGAGAATAATACAAGCTCTGGAGAAATATTTGGCTAGAGTTTCCCCTACAATATGTAGCAGTTCTGACTTACATACAAATTCAACTTAAGAACAAACCTACAGTCCCTATCTTGTACGTAACCCGGGGACTGCCTGTACAACACATACAATCAGTGGACTGCTGGAGCTCCGCATAAATTTTTACGCATGTAAAGGGCTCCGGAGCCCAAAAAGTTTGAGAACCACTGGTCTACAGGCTCTTAGTTAAAATATTTCATTATCTGTTGTTTAAAATGATAAAAATCACATCTCTTAAAAATCACATTATCGCTCCTCCATTCCACCCCGAGCTGCCTTGAGACATAGGACACAAGTGGCATAAGGCCTCATAAACCCTGAGGTGTATCTGGGTTAGAGTACAAATTGGATGCTCAAAATGGGTTTCTAAACTGGGGCAGTCACTGGTTAATTTGAGTGCATTCAGCATTCCCGATCAATTTAGATGATGGCATAAAGAGTACACTTACTAAGTTTGCAGGTGATACTAGGCTGAGAGAGGTTGCAACTGCTTTGGAGGATAGGGTCATAATTCAAAATTATCTGGATAAACTGGAGAAATGGTTTGAGCTAAATAGGATGAAGTTTAATAAAGGGCAAATGCAAAGTACTCCACTTAGGAAGGAATAATCCATTTCAGACATACAGAATGAGATGTGACCATCTAGGAAGGAGTACTGTTGAAAGGGATCTAGGGGTCATAGTGGGCCACAAGCTAAATATGAGTCAGCAGTGTAACCCTTGTTGTTGTTGTTTTTTAAAAAAAGGGCAAACATGATTTTCAGATGCTTTAACAGATGTGTGAGCAAGACACAAGAAGTCATGCTTCTGTTCTACTCTGCACTGATTAGGCCTCAGTTGGAGTATTGTGTCCAGTTCTGGGCACCACATTTCAAGAAAGATGTGGAGAAATTGGAGAAGGCCCAGAGAAGAGCAACAAAAATGATTAAAGGTCGAGAAAACATGAGCTCTGAAGGAAGAATGAAGTAATTCGGTTTTGTTTAGTTTGGAAAAGAGAAGACTGAGAAGGGACATGATAAAAAGCTTCAGAGGGATCTGTAATTGGAAAACCTTAAACAACGAATAATCTAGCAGCACCTAAAAGACTAACAAAACATACAGATGGTATCATGAGCTTTCGTGGGTACAACTCATTTCTTCAGATGAATGAAGTATTAAAAGTCCAGTTCCAAAATAAATAGGAGATGGGATGGGGAAGGAAGGGGGAAAATAGTGAATTAGAGTGTTCATGTTACTCTGTTGATCTGTTTTTTCACTTCTCTGGCTGGGTATTTCAGTTTTAAGAATGCTCTATATGGATTCTGGAAACTGAGATTGGAGCAAATCCGGTTGTATTTTAGGGCTTGGCTGTAAACAATAGATTGAGAAATGTGTCTTGGATAGAAGCTAGAGGCGTGAAGGTGAGTGTAGCGGTTATTAGATTTCTGGTATAAGGTGGTGGAAATGTGTCCATCATATAATTGTACTGTAGTGTCAAGGAAGTGGATCTCTCCTGTGGACTGATCCAGGCTGAGGTTGATAGTGGGGTGGAAGTTCTTGAAATCCCTGTAAAATTCTTCAAGCGTCTCTTTCCCGTGGGTCCATATGATAAACATGTCAATGTAATGTAAGCAGAGTAAGGGTGCTAGAGGGCGAGAGCTCAGGAAACATCGTTCAAGATCAGCCATAAAGACGTTGGCATATTGTGGAGCCATGTGGGTGTTGCCTACAGACAACCCCTTAACCTCAAACAAATTCTTTCAAGTAACCGCGCAGCACACCTCCATCATAATCATCCAGGAACCTACCCTTGCAGTCAGCCCTGGTCCCAACTCTGTCAACACACCTACACAAGGGATTTCATCACTGGACCCAACCATATCAGCCACTACATGAGGGGCTCCTTTAACTGCACAGCCACTTATGTGATCTATGCCATCAAGTGCTAGCAATCTCTCTCGGCTATATATATTGGCCAAACTGGACTGTTTCTACGGGAAAGAATTAATGGACACAAATCAGATATCCGAAAAGGCAACATACAGAAACCTGTTGGAGAACACTTTAACCTGCCCAGGCACTCATTAATGGATCTCAAAGTCACCATGTTGTTTCAGGCCAATTCCATAAGCCAAATACGCAGGGAAGCGTTAGAACTTAACTTCATTCAGAAGTTTGGGAGCCATCACAAAGGTATGAATATTGACGTTACCTGGCTAGCACACTACTTTCCACATCTTAATGGCTTAACCATCTAAACACTGGGAACTTAAGAACAATTTTCATTTTTTCTATCAGCTTCTTGTAACATGAACACTATAATTCACTATTTTTCCCCCCCCCCCGCCCCCCC